TGATCAGAGTCACTAGGGTCTTTGTTAAATGGGCCCTTCTGAGTCTCGGGACATCCCTTGGGGGATGTATCTGTATCTTAATTTCTCCTGAGAATTCTGTACACTGTCGGTGGGAGAGCTCCAGGTGGAATAATTCACACTTGAGGGACAGATCCTTTGGGGTCAAGGTTGGCGTTTTGTGAAAGGAGCATAGAGGTTGGGGGGGGCGGGGAGATGCATGAGACACAGAGGGATGTTGGGCTCGGAGGACTGCCAGCTAATTGGCACTGGAGTGCCCACACCTGAATACCCAGTGGACCCTGCCCCTGCCCTCTCAGTGGGAAAAGCCATATTTGGCCAAGGTCTTTAGGTCCCTCCCAAAGGTAGTCTCCCTCTAGTTACACCCAGTCCATCAGTAAAGTGGAAAGGCTCCCATGGGCCCAGGTGAGGGGAGATCCGGGGATAGGACCAGGTTAGGCACAGTTCTCTCCAAGCCATACTTGGTTAGTGAACAAACCGTCCTGCAAAAAAAGATGTGTGATGGTCCCTTCTGTTGAATATTTTTAAATGAAATAATACAGTAATATCTATTAGTAAGTGCATATAGATATATTTGTTTCAGGAAGGTATCTATATATATAAAAGCCTAAGTGACCATCCAACCATTCGACTGGTAGCTATGACACACACTGACCACCAGGGGGCTCAACGCACAGGGATGAAAACATGCAATAGACTGATGAATTTCAGGTGGGTGGGCGGGAGAAGAGATTAACCAAAGATCTTATATGCATACTAGAGGCCCGGTGCACGAAATTCATGCACTGGAGGGGGTGTCCCTCAGCCCAGCCTGTACCCTCTCCAATCTGGGACCCCAATCCAGGACTGCTGGCTCCCAACCACTCACCTGTGATGGAGTGAGGGTCAATTTGCATATTACCTCTATTATATAGGACAAAAAGCCCAGTGCATGGGGTCCCTCAGCCTGACCTGCAGGGATCAGGCCAAAACCGGCTCTCCCATATCCCCCGAGGGTCCCGGGTTGCGAGAGCGTGCAGGCCAGACCGAGGGACCCCACTGGTGCACGAATCTGTACACCGGGTCTCTAGTATTTATATATTTGTAATTAATTTTTTACAGCGATTGCCCTTGGAACGATGAGTGGGATAGAGGGCAGGAGGAGGAGTGTGGGGGGCCTTTCAGGATTTATTTTGGTTTCCTGTACTTTGTCAATCTCTAACTATACACTCATTTTTATTTTATTTTTTTAAAAATATATTTTATTGATTCTTTTACAGAGAGGAAGGGAGAGGGATAGAGAGTCAGAAACATCGATGAGAGAGAAACATCGATCAGCTGCCTCCTGCATGTCCCCCACTGGGGATGTGCCCGCAACGAAGGTACATGCCCTTGACCAGAATCGAACCTGGGACCCCTGAGTCTGCAGGCCGACGCTCTATCCACTGAGACAAACTGGTCAGGGCTCATTTTTATTTTTTTAAGTAGTTAATATTCAGCCATATTAAGTAGTTAATATTCAGCCATACCTGCCCTGATGTGGCTGACCCTGCAAAGCGTGAAGCATAAGTGAAAGAAACCCGGCACAAAGAGCTGTGTGTTGTAAGGTTCTCCTTACAAGAACTGCCCACAATGGCAAATCCATAGCGACAGGAGGTAGATTGGTGGTCGCCAGGGGCTGGGGGAGGGGAAATGCGGAGTGACCGCTAATGGGTACGGGTTTCCTTTGCGGGGGATGAAAATGTCCTGGAACTAGATAGCGGTGGTCCTTGCACAACACCATGCATGGGCTAAGTATCACTGAGTTGTACACGTCAGTTAACTTTACGTGAATTTCAACTCCATTTTTTAAAGTCTGCCAGCGGCATCAGGGACCGTGCCTGAGGGGAGAAAGGTGAGGGTTTCTAATACTTTCCCTGCGTTGAAAAAGTCCCCAACCAAACACACGTGTCCGATGTGGAAGCCAGATCCCCCCCCCCGCTGCCAGGTGAGTGAGGGCTGCAGGCCGGGGCACAAAGCGCCCCCTGTCTGCGCATGTGAAATCCCCCCGTTGTCCATGTCCGTTGGTTTGGCTTAGATGCATGCATACAAGTCCTTTGGTTTTTAACATTCCAGCCGGGGGCCACCTCTTCTTGCAGAAGCAGGAAGCGAGAGGCCGCAGTGCATGCATCTGGTCACGTCCGGTCGCTCAGTAAAGCCCCGCCCGGGGCCCCGCTGCCCAGGGAATGTTCTACAGCGACAGCGAATGTGTAGCTGCAGCCAACAATGTAGCTAATGGAGCTGCTTTTCACGCCGCAGGCAGGTTCGGAGTGTTCTCTGCCGGCGCTCACACAGGGTGAGAATGTGAGCGCTCACAGAATGTTCAAGGTCAGGCCCCCTGAGCGGGAATTTCCTCCTGCTGCCTTCCAGGTGCTGCCCGCAGCCCTGGCCCGGGGGGGCTCAGCTGGTCGAGGGGCTCCCCTGCACTGAAGGGTCGAGGGTCCCATTCCCAGTCTGGGCACAGTGGACCTCCCAGTCCCAGCATGTACAGAACTGGCCTTTCTCTCTCTCTCTCTCTCTCTCTCTCTCCCTCCCTCTCTCTCTGAAAGCATATCCTCAGATGAGGATTAAAAAACACACACACAAAACATTCTGTATGTGCTTAACGGAGGCGTTTTCTGCCAGTAAAAGGTAAGCTGCTTTAAAAGCTGTCAACATGTTGCCCTAACCGGTTTGGCTCAGTGGATAGAGCGTCGGCTGCAGACTCCAGGGTCGCAGGTTCGATTCTGGTCAAGGGCATGTACCTTGGTTGCGGGCACATCCCCAGTGGGGAGTGTGCAGGAGGCAGCTGATCGATGTTTCTCTCTCATCGATGTTTCTAACTCTCTATCCCTCTCCCTTCTTCTCTGTAAAAAATCAATAAAAAAACAAAAAAATAAACCTTGTCAACATGAGAGAATAGGGAGGGAAATAGGAACCAGAAAACGGGAGCTGGATCAATAACAAAGGGTTGGTCCTGGTACATGTGAAAACGTCCTACTCTGAACCTCCATCATCCAAACAGCTCGGCCCTGACTGAGGGATGGGGGGACGCTGGGTCTGGAAACGGAGCTCCCTAAACACACAGTTACAGTCTGTGATCTGGGTGAGGCTTCGAATGGGCGTGAGGAAGAGGAATTGTTCAGAAAACGCTGCTGGGACAACAAGCTAAGTATTTTGGAAAACAGAAGCCACTCCTTCCATCAAAATCAATTCCAGAAAGGCCAGATATTTGTAAGATGAAGTTGTAAGCGTCGCAGAGGAAAGCTGGGTGGATAACTGATCATCTTGGAGGGAGGGAGCTTTCAAAGTTGAGTGCAAAAGCCTGGTCACCTCACAAGAATGTAGCCAAAGCTGGGGCCCAGGCAGGCCTCCAGCCTCCTGTAACCCGAAACCATCCAAGAAAACCGCTACTTGGCCACTGTGACCACAGAAAATTTAACTTTTTAATCTGAGGGAAAATAAATTAAAAGATAGTGACACACTGGGGAAAAACAAAGGTTTCATATCTTTTTTTTTAATCCTTGCCCGAGCATATTTTTCCGTTGATTTTTAAAAATATATATTTCTGTTGATTTCAGAGAGGAAAGGAGAAGGAGAGAGAGACAGAAACTTCAATGATGAGGGAGAATCATTGATTGGCTGCCTCCTGCACGTCCCCTACTGGGGATTGAGCCCGCCACCTGGGCATGTGCCCTTGACTGGAATTGAACCCGGGAGCCTTCTGTCCGCAGGCCGACACTCTATCCACTGAGCAAACCAGCCAGGGCTCGTACCCTTTTTAATAGAAAGCTCATATAGCCCAACCAGCATGGCTCAACGGTTGAGCGTTGACCTATGAACCAGGAGTTATGGTTTGATTCCTGGTCAGGGCTCATGTCCTGGTTGCCGGCTCAATCCCCCATGTGCGGTGTGCAGGGGGCACTGATCAATGATTCTCATCATTGATGTTTCTATCTCCCTCTCCCTTCCTCTGTGAAATCAATAAAAATATTTTTTTTTAAAAGGAAAGCTCATATAAATGTTCAAGAAAAAGGAACAGCTCTCGAGAAAAGTGGTTAAGGGACATGAATTGGAAGTTAACAGAAAAACAAGTATCAACAGCCAATAAACCCTAAAAAGATGTGCAACTTCACACTTAATAAACCAATGCACACCCTTGGTCAGGTGGCTTGGTTGGAGCCTTGTCCCATACACCAAAGGTTGCAGGTTCGATCCCCAGTCAGGGAGCATACCGAGGTTGTGGGTTCGATCCCTGGTCGGGTGCATATAAGAGGCAACTGATCAATGTTTCTCTCTCCCTTTCTCTCTCTTTCAAATCAATAAACATGTCCCCGGGTGAAGATTAAAAAGAAAAGT